TTATTTTGTGTATATGCAAGCATGTATATATTTAATACATATTTGCATGCATATAGTGTATACAGGGCCTGAAGTTATCTTTTTTGGCCACCAGCCACTGTGGCAGGTGGATATAAAAATTCACCTGCCACAGAGACTTTTTACCAGCCTTTTTTTTTTTTTTTGGCTCATAGCCTAAAGGTGAAAAACGGGAATTTCACAATATTGTTCTTTAACTTGTACACATTTAAGTGCTGTCAAGTTATTAACGAAATCAATATAAGTAATAATAACTCTTAGAATATACATTTTAAAAAAATCTTTTTATTCATTGATTTTGACACACACATGCACAACAGATCTATAGACCTACCGCAGCTCGTATGTAAACAAATCACCCGCGGCTGTGTTGATGGCTGATTTAGTCACGTAGACAGCTAGGTCCTGACAGCTTTTAGTTACAGCGTTCAGGAACCGTTAAGCAGAACTAAATTAATATTATTATTGGTAAAGTTACCGGGTACCGGACATTTTCTCACCGGTTCCCAACTCCCAACATGTACTACAGTTGCACACGCACACATCTGTGCAACTGTCATTGTTCTGGAGCCTACGTCAGCGTTACATTATCTCATCCCATCTCACCAACAGTTCAATACTGGCACAACCAAACGTAGTCAGAAAAGGGCCTCATCTTCTTTCTGATCGCATGAACGTTACGAAACAACAGTCGCTGTCATAAATCAGCCGCTCACGAACCTTGCCGTTGTCTCCAATTGACCACTTTGTATTAAAATGTCTTATTTTACTTTTCTTTGACTCATCCTCATCTTTTTGTTGGTTGTTTGTTTCAGCTGGCCTTTTTACCCCAGTAATGTGCCGCCACATTATAGCTAAGGTCCAACGCAATGAAAATGAAAACGTAAAAAAAAAAACCTAATGAATCACTCAATTCTCATTGGCTACCTGCCAATGTGGCAGGTAGATTGACAGTGTTACCCGCCAATAGCAAAATTCACCCGCATTTGGCAGGTGGTCGGGTGTTAATTTCAGGCCCTGAGTGTATATATATTTATATATTATTTATGTTATTTAACACATTTTTCAATTTTTCATTTTTAAATATATACATGCATGTGTGTGTATTTATATACAAAATAATTATACACAGCACACACACATATATTATGCAAACACAAACTTTTATTTTGGATGCGATTAATCACAATCATTTCACAGCCCTAGATATATCACTGATGTTTTTAGTGCTTATGTTTTACTAAAGACCAGATAACTTTGAACAAACATTCTATTAATGTTATTAGAAGAATGTTAGTTCATAACCTTGCCAGATGTTCTCTGTTAGCTGGTTCGATGTTATGGTGCGTTCACGTGCTATGGTAATTATGGTAAATACCAAAAGCCGACGTGGAAAATGCACATGAACACCCACTCATGTGGTATTTTCCACTGGGCGGCTCGTAGAATATTTTGGCCCTGTCCCAAATGGCGCACTTCATGCGGACTTGCGGTCTCGTGGACTTAAATTGCGCGTGCTCGCGAGTCTACGAGTCCGTCCCATTTAGCATTTGAACGCTCTGAAGTGTGCTCAGCAGCGCCCCCTGTGTACCCTTGAAGCGGTCTTCCGCGAAGCCCACATAGATGCAGGCTCCACGCACTTTAACTACCCAGGAATCCTTGCGAAAGGCCAATCAGACAACGGATGGGAGGAGATTTCGCTCACGGACAATTGTTAACATGGCTGAGAGGAAAATATTTAAGTGTAATTATCATTACGGTTTTTATGACGAGTTTATACAAACATTATGATCATCGACCAGTGGTTGATGTCTCAAACATAGGCTAATAATAGCGAGCTGAATAATACGATCGCATTATGATTCATTAAATAAATAGAACAGAATGTCAGGGCTTTACTGAGTCATATGTAAACACAACAACAATAGGCAGCATATTTCCCCGAACCTGCAGCTCCTGTCCATAACAACAATCAGACCGTCTTCCTGTTTCCGGCGTGACGATCGAGTCTGTCCCAAAAACACCTCTCAATGCGGACTCGCGGACTCGCGCTAAGGGCCCTACATGACACTACATGCACTACATGTCGTCACCGAAGTGTGGACTCTGAGGAAGTCGACAATTTGGGACAGGGCCTTTGATGCACGAGTTGCCGAGATGAGATAACCTTTGACCTTTTCAAAATGGCGGAGAGCAACGCGAGAGTCGTGAATGGTAAAAATATGTAGCCTACTATTCATGATCTAGAAAATATTCAGCATATTATTTACCGTTTGAGTTTTGATAAATCATTTTCTTGCTGTAGCAGATGACTTAAGAGAAAGTACCCCATGCCAATCTTTATCTCTAATCTCAATCTCTCAAATCTCACATTTATTTATTTACGATACATTATTCTTAAGCAATCTAAAATAGTTTTAGCTAAATAACAGGTCTGGATCTCCGTATTTTTACCACATTACGACAACAAAAGCACTTGAACGCAACACACAGTTCACAAGTGGAAAATATCATATTTTCCATAGCACGTGAAAATTTGCCTTTTCAGCAAATCGGTTCAAAGCAAACGGGACATCATGTTATTAATAATCATTTTACTGTATAATGTGCCTCTTCCACACACACATTTTTCAGATTGTTCCTACGCGCCCGTTTCCCCCAAATCGAGCTCCTCGCAGCTGTTGAATTCATACGGACAGCTACATTTATTCTTCCTCTCATCTGAGAGAGAACAGCTGCCCCTGTTCACTAATGTAATGTCATGCGTTCAGTATTACAAACAGTATGTTGTGTTAATGTGAATCACGTCTTGTAATGTTGACTTGATTCAACATGACCGAGACGAGAAACAGACAGCTGCACATTTTTATGACTAAAAACACACTTCTGTGATCCGGCCATCAGTGAATGTTGGCAGCGTTACAGTGTTCTGTTCTCATTAGTTACTCTCCACGTCTCAACTCACGCCTCTACCGTACACGTTACTGCATTATCATAATGTTTCATAACCAGCCGTGATCGATTAAGCGTCTCTTTTAACCCCATCCGCTGTGATATCTCATTTGTCAACAAATCTTGTTACTGTATTACTGTAATGCTATAATGATAATAATATACTGTAATAATTATCTAATAATTGTTTTTTAATAACTATATTAAATATGTTAATATTATGTTATATTATCCATTCATATTTCAAAACACTTATCTGTAGAGTTTTTTTATTATTATTATTATCATTGTTGATATATTAATATTATTAGTATGATTATAATGTTATAATATATTAATTATAATATATTAGTAATATTATTTAATTTTACATTATATACATTTAATAAAAATTTAAATGTATACATCATGGTAGTATTTGTATTATTGTATTTGCTGTGTTTTATTGCATTTATGCTGATTTAAATAAAACTAAAATAATTGAATTACAGTAAAATAAAATACCGTATTACAATAGAGAATCAATATTGAAAATAATAGGAATTACACAAAAAAAAAAAAAAACTCATAAGTAAAGTGTCCGGATAGGCTAGATTACGGTAACGAGAATGAGATTTTGATAATATAAATTATAGTTTAGTGTCCAATTCTTACTATAACTAACTTAACTATGAATTTTGCCTCAATAAACTCCAAATTACTGCTTATTAATAGTTAGTAAGGTCGTTGTTAAGTTTAGGTTTTGGGATGTAGAATATGATCATGCATAATAAGGCATTAATATGTGCTTTATAAGTACTAATAAACAGCCAATATCCTAGTATGCATGATAATAAGCAAGTTATAATAATAGTGAGAATTGGACCCTAAACTAGAGTTTTCACCTGGTAACATCATAAGGACATTCCTGTATTGTCCAGATGTTTGTTGTGAACATTGACACAGTGTAAGGTTTGGAAGCATGGCATTGGTTTCTTTATCTCAGCGATGGACTGCAGTGTTGAAGAGTTGACAGGCAGTGCAGAGATAAGCGACAGAACGAGATGAATGTGTGGGAGGGACAGCGTGTGTTTCATTTTCTTTTGGCCGTCACTCCTCACGTCTCCCTCTATTCATCTGCCGTTTTCTCTTTCTATCAGCTTCCCTCTTTCTCTTGGCTTTCCTCTGACTGTGACTGTCCGCATGTATTGTGCTCGGGGTCACGTTGAGTGGTGTTGGAAATGTGTGTGAGTGAAGTTCTGGAGGAAGTAATAAATAAAGAAGAAATCAAAAGACACATGTCAAACTCTGACTAACAACAGCCTGAAGACTCTCTCCGTCAAAGAACAAGACAGCCCCTGTGTTAACACAATAAAGGAGCTTGTGTTGCTGTGTGTTGAGCTCCTACGCACTCGCACATACACACACTATGCTTTTCTTGGACAGATGTAATGTGTTTGATTCATTGTGCAGTGTGTGTCAGTGCTGTCATGGGGGCTGTCAGATTGTGGCCAGAAACCATTGAACATGAAAGATTTACTTACTTACGAGTGACATTCAGAACAGAAGCAATGCAATGAATAAAATAAAATAAAATAAAATAAAATAAAATAAAATAAAATAAAATAAAATAAAATAAATAAATAAATAAATAAATAAAATAAAATAAAAAATAAAATAAAAAATAATAAATAAAAATAATAAAATAAATAAATAAAATAAAATAAAATAAAATAAATAACAAATAAAATAAAATAAAATAAAAAAATAAAAAAATTAAATTAAATTAAATTAAATTAAATTAAATAAATGAAAAATTAAATAATAATAAAAAAAAAAATAATAATAAATAAAATAAATAAATAAATAAATAAATTAATTAAATTAAATTAAAACAAAATTAAATTAAAACAAAATTAAATTAAATTAAATTAAATTAAATTAAATTAAATTAAGTGGTTTACTATCTGGCCATTTTCCATGAATAACAAATATGTATAACCAGTATTTTGAAGAATATCATTTTTACATGACTTTCTCTCTTTTGTCAGAGTATAAGCGTGTGTTAGACGCCTCGATAGCAGCGGAGAACTACCGCTGCTGGCCGTCCTATCAGCACGACGGATGCCTGCTGTCAGTCTTCAGCGTTCATGAAGCTGTCGACGTGTGTGAGAGCCACGTCCAGTGCCGGGCCTTCGTCTTGACCAACCAGAGCACGTGGACAGGTAAAGTTGCCAAGTGTCGCACTGTTTAAATATGTGTAGCTCAGCTTAGTACATTCATACCAACTAACCAGCTCATTTTTGCAACGCAGAAGTAAGATATTTTCTGTGAGTGTCCGAAACGTGCACTATAGGTAAATAACTAGGAGAATAACAAAGAGCAGTAAATGGTAAAAACTATTTGCGTTGCTGATCGGCTTGATTCATGGCTTATAATGTTTTAACAAAGACTTTTTAAAATACCTATGGGAAAAATTAATGGAAAAAAATATTCCCAGAGCGGAACCAACAAAAAAAAAAACGGACACTAATGCACTTAACTGGAGGATCACAGCACTATCTACTGACTCTATATTCACTCTCAAACTCTATTGAATGCAATTGTGATGCAGTTGATGTAGAGAGTTTCAGACCTGTGAAGATCCATTTCAGTTCGGATGCCTTAGACAGCTGCCTATGAAGACAGCATGGCAGCTCACTAGCTTTTTGGAAAACAGCCATTATAGTTTATAGTGTTAATGTAAATATGTGTGTGGATTCGTGTGAATGTACGTGATAAATGTCCTCGCCTTGTCGATAAATCGCGACACACATACAGACCAGTGCTTCCCAACTGGTTAAGATCTGTTCTTGTAGCCCAGTGGAACATTTCATGATGGAATGAAAGTAAAGACAAAAATAGGACAATAGCTGACATAGAGAAGAAAAATATAGAGCTATAAAATCAACGTGGATATCATAGCTCAGATCATTTCATCTTGGATGAGAGATGAGAAATGTTCAAGTTCATATTGAAATTAGTTTAAGTTTAGTTTAATTTTATGTGCACAAATGTTAAATATACAGGTCCTTCTCAAAAAATTAGCATATTGTGATAAAGTTCATTATTTTCCATAATGTAATGATAAAAATTAAACTTTCATATATTTTAGATTCATTGCACACCAACTGAAATATTTCAGGTCTTTTATTGTTTTAATACTGATGATTTTGGCATACAGCTCATGAAAACCCAAAATTCCTGTCTCAAAAAATTAGCATATCATGAAAAGGGTCTCTAAACGAGCTATTACCCTAATCATCTGAATCAACTAAATAACTCTAAACACCTGCAAAAGATTCCTGAGGCTTTTAAAAACTCCCAGCCTGTTTCATTACTCAAAACCACAATCATGGGTAAGACTGCCGACCTGACTGCTGTCCAGAAGGCCATCATTGACACCCTCAAGCAAGAGGGTAAGACAGAAAGAAATTTCTGAACAAATAGGCTGTTCCCAGAGTGCTGTATCAAGGCACCTCAGTGGGAAGTCTGTGGGAAGGAAAAAGTGTGGCAAAAAAACGCTGCACAACAAGAAGAGGTGACCGGACCCTGAGGAAGATTGTGGAGAAGGACCGATTCCAGACCTTGGGGGACCTGCGGAAGCAGTGGACTGAGTCTGGAGTAGAAACATCCAGAGCCACCGTGCACAGGCGTGTGCAGGAAATGGACTACAGGTGCCGCATTCCCCAGGTCAAGCCACTTTTGAACCAGAAACAGCGGCAGGAGCGCCTGACCTGGGCTACAGAGAAGCAGCACTGGACTGTTGCTCAGTTTTGCATGTCATTCGGAAATCAAGGTGCCAGAGTCTGGAGGAAGACTGGGGAGAAGGAAATGCCAAAATGCCTGAAGTCCAGTGTCAAGTACCCACAGTCAGTGATGGTCTGGGTGCCATGTCAGCTGCTGGTGTTGGTGCACTGTGTTTTATCAAGGGCAGGGTCAATGCAGCTAGCTATCAGGAGATTTTGTAGCACTTCATGCTTCCATCTGCTGAAAAGCTTTATGGAGATGAAGATTTCATTTTTCAGCACGACCTGGCACCTGCTCACAGTGCCAAAACCACTGGTAAATGGTTTACTGACCATGGTATTACTGTGCTCAATTGGCCTGCCAACTCTCCTGACCTGAACCCCATAGAGAATCTGTGGGATATTGTGAAGAGAAAGTTGAGAGACGCAAGACCCAACACTCTGGATGAGCTTAAGGCCGCTATCGAAGCATCCTGGGCCTCCATAACACCTCAGCAGTGCCACAGGCTGATTGCCTCCATGCCACGCCGCATTGAAGCAGTCATTTCTGCAAAAGGATTCCCGACCAAGTATTGACTATTGAGTGCATAACTGAACATAATTATTTGAAGGTTGACTTTTTTTTTTTGTATTAAAAACACTTCTTTTATTGGTCGGATGAAATATACTAATTTTTTTAGACAGGAATTTTGGGTTTTCATGAGCTGTATGCCAAAATCATCAGTATTAAAACAATAAAAGACCTGAAATATTTCAGTTGGTGTGCAATGAATCTAAAATATATGAAAGTTTAATTTTTATCATTACATTATGGAAAATAATGAACTTATATATCACAATATGCTAATTTTTTTAGAAGGACCTGTATACAGTAAGAGCAAGAAAATACAATCCAAATACTGTGCAGGGAGAGGCAGAAAACCCCAAAGGGCTTATTTAGACAACTTTTTAGACAACAATTTAAACACCAAGGACAAAAACTAACTTTAAAATCACTGACTTCATCCTGGCAAATCTGAGGAGAATGTGAGACATTTTCTAGATTGGTTGTGAATCTTTAGACACATATGAGATTTTTGCTTAATTTTGTCATGAGAAACATCTGAGAAGGAGGTAGGGGTTGCAAAGACTAGTTGACTTTCGCTGATCATGGCCTATAGAGGGCGCAAAGAAATCTTTGAAGTCCACTTTATGCTCCGTTTCCAACAGTTAACATGACAAATAAAGGCATACTCCGAGATATGTTTGATAATGCCATCTGGATGCTCAAAATTGATCGAGTGAATGCTCGTTTTAAACAGTTTATTGTAGACGTGAGTTAATCACCGTTCTAAACTAATGCGCTGCTGCTTTGTAACACACACACATACAGATAGTAATTCATACACACAGAAACAGTCAGCAGCGCAGAGATGTATTGTCAACACTGTTCTGTGATTTATCAATAAAATAGCTTAGAAAATGAAAAATTCCATCATATATTTCTTAGTAACTAAAACCCACAGCTTCACTATTACAAAGACTCTGCCGGCTAGAATTAATTCACACACCTCGGCACTCTCACTAATGCATTCATATAAATGTAATCTTTACTGTGCGACTTTATCTATGATTTAGAACGAGCAGAAATCGAAGAGAAATATAACGACCCAAAGACAAAAGAACTGATAAAAATAAGCTGTTATGTAGGAGGAATAGCCTTGTGGGCAGCACTGTGTCAGATGCCATAGCTGAGCGCAAGGCAACCCGCGTTTGAGTCTCAGCTCGAGGGTTATTTGTTCATTAATGACATCTCCGACTCGACTTTAATCACAGAAATGTCGACTTAAAACAATCTGAAGTCGTTCAACCCCTAGAAGGAGGTTCTCCTTTAAACTCATTACTGTCTAAAAAGATCAGATATTGAGTTTTCATTTGTCAAGATTACTCCCTCTCAAAAGTCAAAATCAACAGTATTTTGGCTCAAATGTATCCAACACTTGGTTGAATCCAGCTATATTACATGGTATTAAAGTCACATTAGCGCGATTTTTGCAGGCAAAAAAGTCAATAGCGTAGTGATGTATAAAGCACAGCTCACAGAAGACACTTTCTGTTGGTCAGCGCAGCAAATCAGTGTGATTAACTTGAACCCGTTGTGAAATCAGAGTGGGCAGATCTCATGTCATCATGTGAAATTCCCAATCATGATGTTTCCTATTGAAATGACTGGATTTCACCCACAAAAATCCGCCGAACAATGGGAAATGTGACCGCACCTCTGGCGTAGATCCACAGCACTCTCACGTTTCTCTTCCTCCCACGTCCTGTTCCTCACATCCCATTCATCCGGTCTTCCGTCTGCTGTTCTGTAGCAGGAAATGTCCATTCTCTCACACACAGTTTCGATCTCTGCAGGTCATCAGCTCGTGCTCTTCAAAACCGGAGCATCCAGCCTGAGCGCGGCTCCAGGGAGACTCTCGTACATACGCCTGGGAGCCGCCGAGAGCTGAGAGGAGATGGAGTCGGGATCTTCCGATGTCTTCCCCTCAGGACTCGAGGAGGACGAAGACTCCTTCAGGAGGAGGTCAGCTGTGTGCAATACTGCCTCTCTGAACCTGGGATTGGACTGTGAATGTGTATGTGTATCTAGCAGAGATGCTGTTTGTGCTTGTCCCAGCAACATGTGTCAGTATTTCTTCCTCTCCATCTGTCATTCTTTCTCTTTCTGTCTTTGCCCACACGTAATCCTCCTTTCTTTGCTCTGATATCCAGCACTTTGTCTTCCATGCGAATCAGGGTTTATTTGTTGAGCTTTTAAAAGCATTTGAAATCTTTTCAAATATTTGCTCTTGTAAAACAAATTCTTCCGACAATCGATGTCCAAATGTTCGCCTAGACCAGTCTAAACAAGTAATTTATTGGTTTAACGAATGCAAACGCCTCTTTTAAATTATGAAATCATTTTTTAAATCAAGATAGATGTTTTCCCAAACAGATTAGCAACAAATCTGGAAATTTCTATTTCGATCTTGTTTTTCTTTGTTCTTGTCATTAAAGCTTTTCATGTTCTGTTTTGAATTTGAATATTATTTTCAATGGCAGAATGCAATGACCCGTTTGAGAGGTTAATTGTGGTACTTGACGGTGGTTAGTCAGCCAATCCCCTTGTGGTGTGATAAAGTTTCCCAAGGAAATGTCGATCTGTTACTTGACAGGTGAAGGAGTTGGAGAGGTTTCTGCTTTCAGTGAAAGCACTGAGATGTACATGTACATGCTTTCTTATGAGTCTTATGGTTGTGTTGTATATGAAAGTGATATTTTTATATGGAAATATTAAAGTCATGTGACTTAAAACTGTGTCTTGGTCATTTTTGTGTGTAAAAATATATTCAGAGTCAGACTATTCAAACTGAAATATGAACTTTAGGGCATAGAACATATTTTTATAATATTATAAATGGATCACAGGGGGAACAATATTAAAACAATTGTTTCATACAGTTTTTTTTAAGTGTTTAAAAACACATTTTAAATATTTCTCAATATCTCTGCAGTATTTGAATCTCTATGCTACTGTTCAAAAATGTAAGTACAGTAAGATTTTCTGAATTTATTTTGAAAAGAAATTATTACATATATTTAGCAAGGATACATTAAACAATCAAAAGAGACAATAAAGACATCTCTAATGTTATAAAACTTTTCTATTTCGGATAAATGCTGTTTTGTTTGGTGTTTTATCTTTTCATTAATCTAAGAATCCAGAAAGAAATAGCAGTTTCTACAAAAGTATAAGCAGTAAAATGGTTTTCAACATTGAAAACTATTTGTGTCACAGAAGACACACACTCCAGTCAGCTAATAACAGCAAACTGAGGCTACAGTTCACACACGCTCACCAAAATTGGACAATGAAAGATTGGAAAAATGTTGCCTGATCTGATGAGTCTCGGTTTCTGCTGCAACATTCAAATGGTAGAGTCAGAATTTGGTGTAAGCGACATAAAAGCATGAATCCATCCTGCCTTGTATCAGCGGTTCAGGCTGTGGCTAATGGTATTTTCTTGGCACACTTTTGGCTCCTGAGTACCAATGAAGCACCGTTTAAACACCACAGCACACCTGAGTATTGTTGCTGATCATTTCCATCTCTTTATAACCACAGTGTACAGTCTTCTAATGGCTACTTCCAGCAGGATAATGCTCATGTTACAAAGCTCAAATCATCTCAAACTGGTTTCTTGAACATGTTCACTTCACTCAAACGGCCTCCACAGTCACCAGATCTCAGTCCACTAGAGCAGCTTTGGGATGTGGAGGAACTGGAGATTCATATCATGGATGTTCAGATCTGACAAATCTGCAGCAACTGTGTGATGCGATCATGATAATATGGACCAGAATCTCTGAGGAATGTTTCCAGCACCTTTCTGAATCAATGCCACGCAAATTAAGACAGCTCTGAAGGCAAGAGGGACAAAAAGACTAGCAAGGTGTACCTAATAAAGTCGCCGGTTAGTGCATGTATTTTAAAGGCATTTAAAAGCAAAACAAACTGTGATTGGTCACTTTAAATGTCTGTCAGATGGTCTAAGTGGGATGTTCTTGACAAGAATAAGTGGACTAGGCCTCATGCTAAAAGTCAAAAGTCTGGTTCAGGAAAGTGACCCTCGGCACAGACAGACGAGAGGAGCAGAAGCCTTAACATTCCCGACGGTCCCCAGTGGGATCACTCCAGCATCGGGTCAGCTCATCTCCTGACACACACATGCTCTCCAGATGCCACCATCCAAATCCTCTTTCACAGCTCCTCGTTTCTACATCGGGACTGATGGAGGAAGATGGAACCACGAAGGCTTGAAAACCCAGGCAGGATCAGATCTGTAGAGAGGGGTGTGTGGAGAATCGACGCTCGAGTGCGTGTTAATGTGTATGTGTCAGACTGAGAGATAAGCAGAGAAAGCGAGACACAAAGACTGAGAGAGCGAGGGACGCATCTGTCTTCTATTGGCCTGAGGGATTATGGCTTTTCCTGAGGCACGGCTCCAGGCTGTGAGAGAGACGGAGGGAGAGAATGAAGGACTGAGAGATGAAGGAAGGGTGAGAGGGATTGTGGGTTAGCTGCAGCGACACTAATGAGAGACAGACCCTGTGTTAAAAAGTCACCTCAGTGCTGTGACATGTGCTGGTTTTCTAAAGTAAGGAGAAAACTTCCACCTTTCTGCATTTGGGTTTTCAGTTCAACGTGTTTGAGTGTTTCATTACGACATTAGGCTGAGCAAATTTGACAGAAGGTTCATTTATGAAGTAACTCCTCGTGCTGCTATCCTTCATTATATCATGCCAACTAAAGTGACTCATTAGAGTGGAAGGAATTTCAGCCATTATAAAGCAGCAATGGAAGAAATTCACTGTGTGGAGCGAATGCCAGCTGGCATATTAGCAAAACCTTAGTCAGGGTAGACACCATATTGAATTTTATGAGGATGAAAATGAAGCTGACATACAGTTTTTGCACTACGTAAAGATCCTAGATCGCATATGCAATTTTCAAAACACAACTTTCAGAAGAAGACAATTTAAATTTTTGGGAAAGATGTTTCATCAGATGAACAGCTGGCATGTTGACATCTATTAAACATGCTGTTCGTCTGCCCCTCATAGCTAAATATGATGCTACCCTGACTAAGGACTATATAGCAAAATTGTCCGTGTATGAGTTTTTGGCTTATATTTATATATAATTTTAGCATTTTCTTTGTTTTTCAATGAATCAATGAAACAGCGTGTTTGAACTAAATCAGTGATTTAATTATCCATTCAAAAAGAAAGTCACTTGCTTCGTTCCTGAATAAATCAGATGTCTGAACAAATCGGTCAAGTGAAAGATGCAATGACTCACTCATTAAGACAGTGTCTGCATCTGAAATCACATACTTCCTTGGCAATTAGCAGGTGCAAAACAGAATTCACAGTTCTTATAAATGAATAGACCTACTATTTTTCTGAATTGTGCATATGATGGACACTTTACTATCCCATGAGGCCACAGGAGATTGCTTAATGACAATGAAGCGACGCAACTGACAGTGACAACATGTCCAGATTACATTCATACACATTCATAATAGAACATGCTTTTTTAGCGGTCGAGAAGTAGCCAATACTTATTCAAAATAGAGAAAGTATGTGATTTTGGATGTAGCCAGTGACTTGCCACCACCTACTGGTAGTTTCAGTTTCGTATTTAAAGGATTGTTTCATTTTTAAAAATCATTTCATATTTCAATATTAAAAATATTATTTTTGTAAACATTAATCTCAGCATTATTTATGGATATTTAATGGATTTTGTTGATACGGATTTCATTTGCTTGGTAACCGCCTGCAGTGTCTTATTATTCTAATTGAGTTTTAATGATTAAATCCATCACACAGAATATGAAGAATATGGAAAGCTTTGGAACTGGACACAACAGGCATAAACCAGCAAAGATACTAGCACAAAAACACAATAGTCAATATCTTGTCTAATATTTGTTATTGACAAAATTCCAGAAAATATTGAGATATAATTGTTTTGTCAATTTCATCCACCCCTGTATCAGAGCCATACAGAAGCAACATTTCATGTTGTTTATGTTGTGTAAACCATTCATTTAAAGGTGCATTCAGTAGTTGTTTCGCTAGCAGTATCAACAATTCTTTAGTGTACTTTAAGTTTAAATACCACAGTGGTGTTACTGTAGATGCTGCACTGCCATCTGTGGACCTGGATCAGCACGATCGGCTCTGAGTTTTAGATAAATCACACTGATGGTGAGTTTTAGAGATCCTCACATGTCCAATGACGATTGTCTCAGTTATAAATATATTTTGTCTCAGTTATAAAATTCTTGCGGGTCACATCATTTCAGCACTGCAAAATCTATTTAAAAGGCATATTGCAGGGTTTTTTTCTTCTCAAAATTAATACCTTGTATGAAAATATCATATGAAAAGTTAATGCAGGTTTTAAAATTGTTTTGCAAGACATAAAGGCACAAATTTAATAGATTATGTCACGGGAGGGAGTTTGTTTGCCGGGCTCTGCCTTTGCACAGTGCAGAGTCGATTGGTATTCAGTCGGAGCGGTCGTGATTCAGTGTGTTTTCGGTGGTTATTGTATTTCAATTAATCATTTGTGAATTATGGCCTGTCAGGACATCGCGTCCACAGGTTTCCGAACAACAAAAAGGATCTGTGCTATCTTCCGTGCGTTTTGTGCAGGTGAAGACACGGGACTTCACTTCTGCATCTGCTTCGAAAAACGCGGAAAAGTCTTCGAAAAAGTCTTCATCTCATATATACAACATTTAAAAGGCTCTTCACAAAAACTTTTTTTTTTTATTAATGTGTCAAACGTTTTAAATTCGCATCAAATGAATCTGTTGACAGTCACACATTTTTTTTCACACAAAAGCTTTACTTTTGCATCTTCGTTTTTAATAGATTAGACATATTTTCATAGTG